ACTTGAGTCGATCGTGAGATCAGTGAAGGTACACCGCCCTTGCTTGATCTCCATCTGTATGACGCCTACAGTTTTCCAGAGATATAAGAAGCCCCTGGAGATGTACTGTCCTGGATCCCACAGTGCGGTGAACTGAGGAGGAGTGTGCCGTCTCCGGTAATGGTGATGCTGCTGCTGCCTGGGAGTCCTCTCCTCGCTGCTGTGTGACTGATCCCCTCCAACTGGGATTGCTGTTTCCAGCCTCCCATCAGGCCGTGCAAGTGTAGTGCCGCCACGCTAGTCCCACGGCCTCATACCAGTGTAGCCGTACCCTTGGCGCTATCCATCTGGAATCACAACCAAAGGCGAGCCGCTCCTTTCGGATCCGGGTTGAAGCTACGTTTCCGTACTCCAACAAGCTAGCCTGATGCAGCTTCTGACACGAGCCGTGCCCCTCGAAACATCCCATACATCAAATGGCGTTGCTCCGAGTGCCTTGATCATGGTGGATCCACAACCAAGGCAAGAAAGGGATCAGCCAACACAGCTGTACCGTACAAATTGGGACTTCAGTGTGCCGTCGAAAGTTGTTCCTTTGCCGATTGGGACTAGGTGTACAATCGGAGGGTAGGGAAGTGCTGCCACGTAGTTTGAAGGACCCGGTGCGTGTCGGAGAATAGTGTCCTTTGCATATTCAAATGAGCAGCCGTAACGGCGCCAAGCGAGTTGTCCCCTCCTTAAGTGGAGCTTGGCTCTCCGGACCCCAAAACTCCGAACCCCAAGTGAATGAGGAAGGAAGGACGCTGCCAATGAGGTTCTGTGCAGCTAGTGTCCTTGGAAGAAGTTCCAGCAACCGTGGACTCCAAAGCCCCCAACTTGAACCATGTTCCGAAATTTGAACGTTTGGATCTTGCTCGTGAACCGTTGGATTGCCACGAAGTTTTGCTGGCGTGTGCTCCTTCAGAGGATCTATCTTCCCACCGTTGCGATCAGTGAAAAGGTACGTGGTTCAGCCGCCGCCGCAATCCCTAGGTCGTCCATAACCCTAGCCGCCACCAGAGATAGGGTCGCCTTGATCTCCTGATTCCTGGCTCCAAATCGCCTGTTCTTGGACTCAGAATGATCGTGGGGATGTGCTCTCTCCAGCCGTGAAAAGGAATCGTGGGAAATCCATGTGGAGAGCTCGCAGTGACTAAAAGAGTACTCTTGACGCTTTCTCGCTCATGGAACATGCAAATCCAGTGAAACCAAGGCACGGCTTGCTCTCAGCATCGTCCTTATTGCTCTCCTAGTCCTACTCCTACTCTGGATCAAGCACGAAAGTCGACTCTCAAGGCGCTCCTCTTCTCGCTAAACTTAGGGTTTTTTCTCTAGTCCCTATCATGCCCCATGTGTTGGTTTTATTCCGGTCCCATATGCTATTTATGATAAGTGTCTAAATCCACTCAAGGGGCATATCTATGGAATGTAGAGAGTGTCTTGAATCCCATAGTATTGTTCCTACACCCTGATTTGAGAGTTAGCACCATTCTATATTTAGTAAGTTTTCACACTTATTCCATAAGTGAACTTCTAGGACTAAAGTGAAAGCCCAAAGTATGTATTCCTCACAGGGGGCAAGGTATGTGGGGGTTCCAAATGTATAGTAGGATAGTGGTTAAAATGAATGTTATAACTTTTTCCAACACCTCAATAGGCAAACTCTCAAGAACAAAGTACCCACTTAGCATAAATGGACTCCAATGTTACTTTTTGTAAGTAAACTAGCTTCACTATCAACCATTTTGGGGTTGATTATTATTTAACCAAACAACACATTCTCACTATCAAATGGATATGATATAAAAATTATAACTTGATCATTAATCAAGTAACACCACAAGCAATGCCATAATATTATGTAAGTATCAAGTGCCAACTCAATTCGACAAAATGCAATATAAATGCCACACCCCACTAATAGAAATTTACAACACCCAACACCATTAACTTTTTTCACAACACAGACAAGCCCATGCCACTCTTTATCCAACCAAACTCAAAACTAATCCAACACTAAGCTACTCAAGGAGCAAAAGCAAGGTTCCCCAGAAAAGAATTAAGCATTGTAACCTAAGCTTTCAATAACAAACCTAGACAAAATATTTTAATGCTTCACCATTATCCATTTTATGGCTCACTACTTATAAAACTATCATAACCAATATGCATCAAGACAGGGACTCTTGATTATATGATGTGAACATGAGCAATGAGTTAACACCTCGTTGCAAATCATCTCTCCAAGAAAAGAAAATGATTTACATGTTTAATCCTTCATCCTTAATAACTCTCTTTTCAGTCTCAACTTGATTAAACCTCAAGTTTGCATTCATAGTGCTTTCAGTTTAATCCATGAAAAGTTTATAAGAGAGTACAGTAATAACTATTTAAACCAATAGATTAATCCCTATAGTCTTAATAGATCCACTTATAATTATGCCTAAGAAGGATCCACTAAACAGCTACAAGCTATCCTATTTGCCACTCATAGCAAATCTAGGGAAGGTTTACTTTCACTCATAGTACATGGAACAACTCATAGTAACCATGCTAACTTAAAGTGTAACTTGAGTTGCTAATGTGCCTCAATTATGAGCCCAAGTGCAAACCCATGTAAATGGTACATCTCAATCCATTATATGAGCCTAAGCACAAGCTCATACAATTTGGCACAGAAAGATAACTAAAATCCATACTCAAATAACAAATGCGAAATTATAACACCCAAACGTATACCCACTCGAATCATTTTTTTCATCTCTGCATATGCAATGAGATCAGTTGCCCAATATTATTAGATAATACTTAATGAGACTCATCCTTTGATACCAAATGTAGCACACCTGGTTTTCATCCTTTATCCTATAATGATTTACCATAGGATAACCATGAAGTGGAAGCTAAACCCTCCATATGCCATGTGTCACATGCCATGTGTCCAAAGACAACAGAGTGGAACCCAAGTTTCATAGCTTTGAGCCACTAAATGAAGGTATGGAGCCAAACTCCCAAGCTTATAGCCAAGGAGCGAAAGAACTAGATGTAAGCTCCTGAGTTTGGACTTCCCAGGAGGTCACCCAGCTCAGTACTATTCAAACCCAAGGACGCTTAACTCCAAATATCCCAAGACCCTTAACCGATTGGAAAAGGGGGTGCACTCTTGTTCATGGGCCCTTTCCCTCTATATTTGAACCCCTATGGATCGTTTCTCGAGTCGTTCCCTTTGGTTGCTTACACTAGAGCATGAAATGACTCCTGAACATTCAGCCCAAGAATAAAGAGACAGGAGTATGGACATTGGAATAGTTCTAAAATATTTGACATCCTAATGCTATGACCAACACGCAAAACAGAGCTAAACAGAGTCTAGTACTATTTTAGCATATTGATGGCCTAATGCGAGGATATGGGTACTCCACTAGTTAACATGTTGTGGAATTTAGGCTTAAACCTAAGCTGAATGTAAAATAAGGATAGGCATGCAATTAGAAGTTGCTAAACTATACTTTAGGTTGGTTAACTATGCTCAAACTACCCACTATCCTTACTATATATTTTAAACCCCCCCTCCCCCTTTTAAGGAACACATATTTTCGGTTTAAACACCCTTAGTACCAGGAGTTAATCTTTGGGACTGACTTGAAACTTATTAAATATGGAATGGCACTAGATTGCAAATTTGGACATAGGACCAATACTAACAATAAACTGACAATCTCTACATTCCATAGATATGCTAAATTAACAAATTTAAACACTTTTCATATATAGCAATTAAAACTGAACAGAACTAACACAAGAAGCATAATAGTGAGGGTGTTTGGCAAATATAATAAGCTATCATCTAGGAAATATTAAAAGACCAATCTCAATATTACAGAGGTTCTTATCAAGCTAGTGCAAGACAGAGCAAAAGAAAATTAATAAGTCGGGCCAAGTATGCTTGGCTAAATAGACACTTAGCAATTCCTTATGCCCATTTAGCCAAGTACAGATGCTAAATCAAGTTTATTAACACTTGAATACTTCAGCCATGTGTCTGCAAAATATCCTGAATTGCCACATGGCAACTATAGCATGGGAGGCAAGGAAATTCCAAGGCTCACTTATTGGCAAGAAAGACCTCAAAGTTTAGGGTTTAGGTTTTAGTGATTTCACGCTTTAGGGTTTAGGGTGGCACCCTATTTTCTTGCTGTGATGAATCATTCCATCGATCTGCCATGTCCTATGCTGTAGCTTGATTCCTCTTGCCAGTTTCATCGTTTAGGCGCAGGAGGCCAGTCTGCATTTTCTGCATGTTTTTGCCATAGCTTCGTGGATGTGAGATTTTTGGCAGGGTTCTTCATTCTCGGAGCAAAATTTTTCCTCTCATGATCACAGTGGTGCCTGAGACAGAGGCATGATGCAGCAACTCTATGTGCTCTTGGTTCCTCATGCCCACAACTGCTCTCATGTTAGAGCACAACTATGTGGAGTTTGATGGCAACCTCAGAAATGGTTCAGAAAACCAATGTTAAAAACAAGGGGTAAATAACTAAAACTAGTGTTGAAGGCTCATGTACTCACAATACATAATATTAAAGGTAATTACAAAGAAAAAATATATAACATATATAAGTCACATAAGTGGTAAGGTGTAAAGTGCCTGATTTGTGTAGTGTACCCTAAGCAAGAATGGTGAAGCAATAGTCTCCTGAACTCTTAAGAGTAGCTGAATTTCCTGGAAATCATGAGCAAAAACTGGAGTAATTACATCTTCATTCTTCAGAAGCATTTTTTTTTCAAACAAAAATCAAATTGTACCCTCCTGCTACACAAGGTGGCCGCCTTGTACCATCAACACAAATTCTGCGAGGGAGGTTTGAGCTCCCACGTCTTGCAATAGATTGATTTGGCCCAAGAATTCATCGATTGGATTCCCCAAAGGCATTGTCCAGGGCACATACTTCTTAGGTTCAGGGTTAGGGTTGTGGCGCGGGCGGCGATGGCGGAAGCAGTAGCACAAGCAGCAGACGGTAAGCGGAAGCAATGCGGATCCCCACATGGCACTACCAAAAGGTACAGGCGCGATCGTCATTTCTCATCTTCGGATGCGATCAACACCGATGTGAATTACTATGTGCCATGGGAGTATATAGACGGTCTGGTCCAACAGATGATTGAGCGCTGGAGGTGGCTGCTGATCACAGGTCCGTTCCAGTCGGGGAAGTCGTCATTGATGTATGCCGTAGCGGATGCTGTAGAAAGCCAGGGTTATGGTGTTATTGTAACCACGCTCACCGAGGGCATGGTAGCTGCTGCGAATGATGCGAGTAACGATATGGAAGGCTCAAAGAAATTCTTCCGGCTGCTGACTGAGTCTATCGAGCGGGATAGTAACGGACTTGTGAAGAGGACGGATGCAGCAGGGGGCATGGAACAGGTGCAGGCAATGTTCCAGAATGCCCCCTCTTGTCCAAAAAGAGAAGTTGTCTGGTTTATAGACGAGGCTGCGCTCCTCAACGATATAGAGAGGGCAACTGTTGTTAGCTCCTTCCTCACTGGCATGCGAGCCATCAAGCAAGGATGCAAATCAAGGCATAAAACAGCAGGTAGTTACTATCTTCGCAGTTTCGTGTTGGTGGGAACTGCCAAGACTAAAAGGCTTCTTCAAGTCCAGAGACGAGCCAGGATGGCTACGCATCCTGGTGGAGGTCTTGCGTGCGAGCCATCATCTCCTTCTCGGACCCACGATTCTTACAACCCTCTGTACAATGTGCACAATATTTTTCCCTTGAGCTTTGAGGACACGCGCTCTTTGGAGTTTTTGACAGTGGACCAGATTGTTGGAATGCTCCGCGAGTATGCACAGGAACGTGGAGTAGTCTTTACCAGGGGTGACGGTCGAAGCACAGGGACCGAAGCCGCAGTAAAGAAGATTGCCATCAGCATTCACGAGCAGACCAACGGTTACAAAGGAATGGTGGGAGCGTGCTGTGAGTACTTGCAGAACAAGAACATTTGCACGGTGGTGAAGTGGAAGGGCGCGGTGAGGCTGGGCCGTGTTGTCGGTCATGTCTTTGACTCGAAGGTCTACTATAGGATCATGGGAAACTTTACCAAGTACCCAGCCGAACTAAGAAGCCTCGTACTGGAATGTGTTGGTTCGGGAGGCTCTGTTGCACCCAAGTTGGTGGATGTGCTGCCCGCCATCAACGATGGTATGCTCATTCGTCAGGCTGGCGGAATGGTGGGCCTGAGCTCAAGCATGCTATTGGCGGTTTTTCTAAGGGATTGTGGGTTCTCTTATGAGGAAGCGCTGCCTGCAATTGAGACATTCGAGGAAGCGGTACAGGCTGCGGTTGTCTTCATTAAACCGCAGCGTTTGGCGATGGAGGCTAACAGCCAGCCTTCTGAATACATATGGCAGTCTGAGTTACTCTTAGCTCTCAAGTTTGTCTTGGAGAAAGGCTACATCAAACACAAGTACGTCATTCTCGTTGAAGCCAAGAAGAGGGATAAACATGGTCAAAAAAGAGTTCGTGTGGATTTTTTCTTGAGAAATGCCGGATCTCCTCCCGTCGCATTCGAACTGCAGGGAGTCGGGAACAAGGAGTCTATAATCAAGCATATTGAGAAGAGCGAGAGGTACAGGTGCCTTTTTCACAGTGAGATGAACTACATCTACTTCGCTTATGGAGACGTTCCTGATCCTAAGCCTGTGATTCGAGAGCAGAGCCAACGATTCCCTCTCGTTAAATGCTGGTTCGTTCAGTACCTTCCAGATGGGAATAGGTGGAACATCGAGTGCGTACAGGGTACATCGGATTGGCATTGTGTTCAGCGTGATGCAGCCAGAAGCTATCCAAGCTATCTTTATCAGGTAAGGCCGGATCTTCAAGACCACCTAGATGAAGATGATGACGATGACTTTGCAATCTAAAAGCATTGGATGCCGTTCTGACAACAAAAACCTTCTGTAGTCGTTGAATTTATAGCAGCCAAGCTCTTTCATTTTCCAGAGTTCATATTGTTAAGTTTTAATTTTTTTTTACTATGGCAGTGATGCTTCTAGCAGTGGACCTCTGAATCCTCAATCTACCAGGTGTGGCTGCATTTCATCCTCTCAAGTATATACCACTCTTTCCCATTTTACAACAGGGTAAACCATCTAACAAGAGGATGTGGCTTGATGCTTCCAACAGTGGACTTCCCAAGCACAAGATGTTAGTTTTTATCATATGGTCATTGTTTACTCAGATTGATTACACACTGGAATAGTTCATCCAGTGAGAACCAAATAAACTGCTTGTTAATGATCCTCATTGGAGATCGTTCACTGCAGCACAAGCAATACTATGATGTCTGGATATGCTTCCTGATTGCAGTAGAATGACCTTGACAAACAACCAGCTGCCAAGAAAGTTTGCCTGGTAAGAACCATAATGCTTGTATATAGTTTCGTAGTCCTTTTGGACATGCAACAGAAGTGGAGGTAGTACTTACATGACTAGCATCTCAGGAAGTCCCACAAGCAACATATAAAGGAGATGCCTAAAGATCAGCAAGTACCAAGAATACCTACTATTGGAAAATGCTAGCCCTTATGTTAACCAAGGAATGCAGAGGTAAGTTCCTCAGTTGTAATAGCAGCCTTAGAAAATGGTGCTACACTGCTGGTCATTTGAAGTAGCATCTTAAATTCATCTGCTTGCCTGATAGAGCTGATTCCAAATCTTGTGAAATGCAGGTGGTGGATAGGAGAATGGAAAACGGAGTTAATGAGCTGGAGAAGGCTGTAGTTTGCTATTTCGGGACGGGGAGAGGATGTACCTTTCAGCAAAGCAGGGAGTTTTGGTTATAGAGGCAGGTGTTGGATAGGTACTGAGTGACAGTTCTACCATAGAAATAGGCGAGAATCTGGTTCTGTTGGCAGCCAGGAACGTCATGAGAAGCGTGGGTATGACAGACTTGACTACCTCCCCCATGTGGAAGAAACACAGGGGAAGGATGGCCATGCCACTGCTGGCAAATGCCAACAAACGTATATGGTAAGATGGAGATTTGAATATGTATACCATACTGATGTTCCTCTCTGATCTGAGTAAGGATTGGCGCCTTCATTTGTGAAAACAAAGATGTGGTCAGGGAATTTGAGTTCCAACTCCCTGATGCAAAGATGGTATCGGTACTTTGCACTGATCAACATCAGCTGACAAAAGATGCTGAAGTTGGGCGTCAGGGATCCTGTGTAAGCTATCCCAAGTCTCCTCATTTTCTAATCCAAGCTCTTCATTCAAAAGTGTCTATACAAAATGTTACAAGCCAGGCCTTTGGCCAAAACAAATAGCCCTACTTTAGCTATATGCCAGGTAGGACTCATACATGGTGTCATATATGAGATATCCATCATAATCTTCTTACACCTCTGATACCAATTCTAAGCTATCTGAGTCTCCTCATTTTCTAATCTAAGCTCTTCATTCAGAAGTGTCTAAAAAAATGTGGGCCTTTGGCCAAAACAAATAGTTGTGACCCTACTTCAGTTATATGCCACATAGGACTCATACATGGTGTCATATACGAGATATCCCTGTATCATAATCTTCTTACAACCCACTCTAGTAAACTGTATTCCTATGCAGCTGCATTTGTTTTATATAAGCTCACAAAATCGAGGACAGTGGCCTGTTACATTTTGGAATGGATCAGTGGGAAGCATTACTATAGACAACGAAAGTGCTTCAAAGGAGTTGTACCTTGATGGAATCCAGTAGTAAACCCTAAATGAGGCAGTCAGGGATGTGAGTTGTCTTATTACCATGTAGGTTGTAGAGCACATGGTAAGTAGAGTACAATCAAACTAAATTTTTGCGAAGTAATGATATAAAATCCATATTTATCAAAGTGGCATAAGAGTCTAAAGACAAATAGAAGACTTTTATACGTGCGATTCATGACTAAATGTGCTGATTTCAGGCTCAAAAAGAAAGCTTATACTGTGCAAACCTTGGAAACAGTTAAAGTCATGTTTGACTGATGTGGTGTTTATGGTATGATGTGGAGATGCATAGATATTCCCTGGTAGTCTTAGGAGGAGAATCAGCACTAGA